TCTGTTTGTGGGAAAATTTAGTAAAAAGACAATGAAGGAAAATTGATTTGTATTCCTTTAATCTCAGTTACAATTGGATTTCCTGATTACAAAAGAGAAGAGAATGATCTGGATTCTCTCCTTTGTTTAATTCTGGGTTCTTCACGGTGGCGATGAGATGCCTCCCTCGAATGCTCGCGTCGAGTTTGCTTCTCGTTGACGATCCGATGTCTTGTTTCACTGGAACGTGGTCTTCTCCTCACGATTTGATATTGTGGAGAACTCTGAATGAGTTTAAAACTCTATGAAAGAGTTGGTTTAACCGAAAGTCGGTTATAAGCCAAGGATGAAGAAGATCTTGTTACCAATCTCCAAAGGCTTCAACCGAAGGATGAAGGATTCTATTTTCGCTGCCAAGAAGTTTCAACCGACTGCCCCCCGAACTGAATTGATTTTTAGTTATTTATAGGGGATTAAGGGGTGTAACCACCTCCTTAATTCGCTCTTAAGTGGGGCTAATGGGATGTAACTGCCCCTTAAATCACTCCTGAGTGGAGTTGTGATCCCCTCAGGTCGTGGGAAACAGTTTTGAAACCGTTCAGCTCGTGTTTGAACGAGTCAAACACAGGCCCGCGTTCTGGCATGAATTCTGTGTCCAAACGCAATGCCTAAAAGCTTGAACGCAGCATCTGGAAGCTCGGATGCAGCGTTTGGAAGCTCATTTGCAGCGATTTAAGAGCTGCGTTTGGCAGCGGATCTGAGCTGCGTTTACAGCAATTTGGAAGCTGCGTTTGTACGATTTAAGAGCTGCGTTTGGCAGCGGATCTGAGCTACGTTTGGAGCTAGATGTGACCTGCGTTTACAGCGTTTGAAGGCTGCGTTTACAGCAATTTGGAAGCTGCGTTGGTGGCCGAATCTGAGCTGCGTTTGTAGCTTTTGGAGCTGCGTTTGCAACTTTTAGAGCTGCATTTGAGCTGCGTTCGTGGCTATGAACGCGGCGCATCTTGATGCTGGTACGCGGGGAGGACTTCCACGTCTTGATTTGAAGAGACCATCGATTTGTAGTCTCTTTCTATTGAAGTTTTGCAAAGATCGTTATTTTGTAATCTTTACTTTAGCTCTTTGATATGCAAGAGTCGTCAGATTGTAACTCTCGATGTTGATTGTGATGGCTGTTGAACTGGAGCTCTCATCGGTTGTCGTGAAGGTCGTCAGATTGTAACCTTCAGCGATCTACGTGAAAGTCTTCAAATTGTAGCCTTCTGGAAGTCGTCAGATTGTAACTTCCATCATCGGTGTTTTGATGGGGATCAGCTATCTATTGTGATTTTTTGACAGCCTACAGAACCCCCTCCAAAGTTTTCGAAAGTTCGCGGTTGACTGGGACGAATTTTCGGAATACTTTGGATTTCAACTCTGATCTTGGAGCTGTTGATTCCTTGTTGTAAAGGATTTGTTCTTTGCACTTGCTTCGAAGGCATCTTGGTTGAAGGTGTTAGACCCTAGAGGGGGGGTGATTAGGGTCTTATGCTAATCTAATCCGATTTAAATGCCAATTAAAATATATTAACAAGTTATCCTAGCAAGTATGAAATACAACAAGAATATAAGCTAGGATAAGCAATATGAACAATGAGATATATCCTATATGATAGAGATATATGCAAGGATATATAAACAACACAAGGGTAAATAAACTAAATAAGATAGTGGATGAAATAAATGAGCAATGCACAATTGGCGATATAAGATAAATGCAAAAACAAATACGCCAAAGACAAACTCAAACAAGCAATATGATCACGGAGTTCGGACCTTCCATCCTACGTCTCCGCTCCCCACTCCCGGGGAGAAATCCACTATCAACCGGGTTTTCTACGTTCACCCGAACAACGTTTACACCTCACACTCGGTTTTCTAGCTAACCGAAAAATTTACAATCAATACACTATGGTAATCCCACTCTACACCCACTAAGTGTTGGACCTAGCCGTGTCTCCCTCAAGTGCTCGGTTACAACCTCTCCCTAGGCACGTCAACCGACGCCACTCCTCTTGGGACGATCCCCGACTCTCACCACACACTCCTGAAGGGGATTGAGAATGAATCCCTCAATCTGCAGTTAAAGCTTCCTCCTTTGTAAACAGAAACTCAAACTCAAACAAACAGTAAAACCCTAAACCCTTGTTTAAAAACTTTGTTTAAAACTCTTCTTTGAAACATCCTTTTTTTTTTTAGCTTGAGAGTTGAAGACAATGGGGTATTTATACCCTCTCACAACTCAGCTAAGAGACCAGAGCAAAAGACAAAACAGCCCCAATGCAACGGTCAAAAAACTAGCCGTTGGAAGCTGAAGGAACACT